ATTCGGATAACCAGGATTTTCTTTAAAAATTAAATGTTTAATTATATCAATTTATATAACCACACATCTGGCAGTCGCAACTCTGCTTAGTGGCTAGGCCACAAATCACAATAAACAAACCACATTACAGCTAAGAATGATAATCAAGCATTATTTAAATAAATCATTTATAAAGCGTGCTATCCTTCTCCTATGAGAAAAAAACCATGTGACCAGATTCCAGGGCAATACATAAATAAAGTGAATTCCGCAACATAAAAAAGAGATCTATTTATCTTCCAGTAAGAGGAATTCAGGGATTGTAATTTCTATGATGCTAAAACCATAAACAATACTATTGAACAAGTGGCAGTATTCCATTTTCTTAATGCTTAACTACACTAAAGGCTTACTTTACGGAACCATCTGACCCAAACATTTCTGCTTGAGATCTGTGTTGTTGGCTGACTTTGTGGATCCTTCACAGAGTTTGGTCTGCTATGCAAATTTTATATTTGGCAGTAACAAATATAAAACCAAAAAAAGGTTCTAATTGCTTCCAAAAATATATATGGGAGAATATATGGGAGTTTCTATTAGTTTCTTCTGCATTCTAGCGGGGCTCGCTGGCTTTAGAAGTGATACTGAGATGCTACCTCACTTTCTAATCCCAGGGATGGATTATTTTGCTCATCTATACACAGCAACCTTGCAAGGGGATTCTACAGATTTCCCATTCATCAGGATGCTGGAAAGTAGAGTTTTTACTACATGTTTAGGGAGAGGGTTAAGTTCGAAGCACTTAATTTCAGAAAACTGATATTTTTCATAATTCAAACATTTCTTCATACGCTACCTGAAACATGACAGCAAAAAAAAAAAAAGCTATTATATCAAGTTAGACCCAAGACATTTTATTAACTAAAAAAGGCATTGCAGCATAAATTTAAATGTTTAAACAATTCTTCATAGAGCTGAAAATGCAAAACAGAAGCAACTGTTTAAGAGAGATGGTATCAAAGGAAAATTTCACTGCTCACTAACTCAGAAATTATCTGAACTCATACATGCATGTAACAGTAACTGAAAGAAAGCTCATGGGAAGGAGATCAACAACAGAAATATCTGAATTACATCATGAATGAGTTAAGAGTTATCAGAGAGGAGGGCGAGAAAATGTGAGTGCAACAAATATAACAGTTCTCCCTTATAAGAGAGAAGGAGCAAGGCAATTAAGCATTATACCCTGGGAAACTATGAAATAAGTCATACACTGAAGTAGTAATCAGTAAACATTTGTACAACAAAGACAAACAATAAGTTATAAAGTAGCTGAAGAGAGCCAGTTTGGTCTAGTGGTGAAGGCTCCAGGCTAGAAACCAGGAGACAATGAGTTCTAGTCCCACCTTAAGCATGAAAGCCGGCTGGGTGACTTTGGGCTAGTCATTGTCTCTCAGCCCAACTCACCTCACAGGGTTATGGTTGTGGGGAAAATAGGAGGCAGGAGGATTAGGTATGTTCACCGCCTTGAGTTGACCAAAAATATATAAAAGGCAGAATGAAAATTAAGAGGAGGAGGAGGACAATGATAAAGGTAATAGAGCTGTGAGGAGGAAGAGGAGGAGATACAGGTAGCCCTCGACTTATGACCACAATAGGGACCAGAAAATTTGTCATTAGGTGGTACGGTCATTAAGGGAGGCAATTTGGTAGAGAATATGTCAGAGATGGAAGAACAATAATTTAATGAACAATACAAAACAGATGGTTAACTTTTAAATCTTGTAAATATGCTCCTTTCAAAAATGTATAACATTTTGAAGAACAAGGCCAACTCAAGACAGTAAGTTCTAGGGAAAATGATAAAGAACATGACAATAAATATTTTCAGTAAAGTTCGAAGTACTCACAACAAGAGAAACAAGAATTAAGAAACATAACTTGCACACCATTTCTGTGATTTACTGCATATTATACAATTTGCATCAAATAATATAAATCACAGAACAATTTATTAAAGTATCTTTTATACCCACTATCTGTCAGGCCCAGCCCAAGAACAACAATGAAACAGTCCAGTCCAGTCCAATCCCTTTATTTGCTTACACCTATAGACAGAATCTTGCCAAACTAAATCCATACCACAGCAACTAGTGGATATACCCTGGATTCTAGGGAGTGGCTATCCTGAATCTCTTCCTCTTCGCACACTCCCCTTGCGGACTGTGTTGCCTCTTGCCTCTTCCCCCCTCCTAGAATGCATCCCCTCCTTCCGGATAGCCTTGATCTCCCACATCACTCTCCTCCTCATAGATACATCCCATCACACTATCATAGTCTAATAAATTAAGGGGAAAGAGCAAAAAGCAGAGGTTATAAAAGTCTATTCAAGAAATAAACAAAAATCTCAAATCCAAACCAAAGCAATTTAAAAATAAATATTTTTTAAACTTTACAAAAATACATTAAAGAATTTGAATATCTTCAGTGCATTGGAAAAACCTTTAAGGACCATCTGGCACATACATGTACTAGCCATGAGCTCCAGATCGGTTTATTCTATGCTTGAATAAAATTGTAAATAGGACAGAGAGTGTGGATTTTTGCCAACAATATTTTGCAACAGTCAAGATAATTTTTCAACATTTTGGTAACAGAGTTAAAATATTGCTAGAAAAAAAAACACGGTAGCATTTCTAGAGAAAAAAAATTGTTCTGGACTAAAAATGGGTCATAATCAATAACAAAAATTAGTTTGGAAGCTTGCTTCCATATTATTCTACTTCACTCTCAATTATTAGATTCAGCAAACTATTCATCAGAGACCTATAAGGGATACACAATACAAAATACATACATATATTTATTGAAATATCATTTAAAGTTGGATCAAAAGTCTTTATCCATTAGTAGGAAATTTCCCCACTGTCCAGAGCAGCATGCAAATAAAGTAAATAAATAAATATGAAATGTATTTATCAAATGTATATAGCCTTCATAATGTTCTGCTGTTTTATCCCTGATCACACCCACTTTTAAAGTGTGGCCCTCACATGCTGTGTAAAATTTGCTATTGTCCTTGACCCAATGAAAATTGTTGTAATGGTATGTGGGAATGACCTTGGGAAACAGGAGGAAGAGCTGCAGACTAGACAAGAGGCAGATAAGAGGCAGCTTAGCCTGCTAAAACAAAGGATGCACGGCAAACATCTCAGAAGGGACCCTCCCTAGTTTCTTGGGCTATAAAGGTGGCGGGGGGGGAGAGATGTACTTTCAGACTTGCAAGATTCTGTTAACATAACCTTACAATAAAGTTAGAGCTAGTACTTCTGGGTGTGCTTCTTGTTTAGATTACCTCTCAAGGCCGACAATTGTGCACTCCTGACATACAATAACTTTTATCTAAATCCTCTTGCATTGGCACAGTAGTTACAGAAGATGTCAGAGTGCTTAGGACTTAGCAACAATGACCATCTATCAACCGTCCAAAACCAAATGACACATTATTACTAATGTTTACAAGTGCCAGTGATTGCTAAGTTTCATTAATTACCTCACTGCAACCAAACATTTCAGGAGAAGGGAAGGATGACAACTAAATGATATCAAGCACAGGGCTACTTCATTAAAACAATTATTTAAACTACACAATCTTACCGATGTGCAGGATGATAAACTACTCCAGTTATTCCATTAATATAATGCTTGCTAAAGTTGAAAACATGGCTCTCTTGGTAGCTCTGATTTGTTCCAACACTAGATCAAGAGAAGATTCAGAATTTATTTTATGAAATGGGATTCCCAATAAATTATTGGTAGACACATTAAATCATATTTACCTCACCAAGTAGCTTTTCAGCTCACCACGATAATTGATGACTAACAATTCAGCTGACCACTGAGCACTGGCTTTGTATTCCAGGAAGATCAATCCTGCAATGGCATCAGTCAAGTCCCCTGGGAAACTAGTGTCCTATTCCAGAATAAAGATTTAAAAAAAAAATTTTTTCAGCAAAGAAGGCTTCAAATGCTAGAAAACATTTTCTAATTGAAACCAAGCTTTTTAAAAACCAGAAATTAAATCTCTCAATAGTATATTATTAAAAGTGAGCCTAACATTTTATAGAGAATATGTATTCTTCAGTATTACTGTTTAGAAATTTCAACATGTAATATTATTAACACTTATTAATGATAGTTAACAAAGTAATGAGTAAGTGAAAATTCTTCCAATAATTAGATGCTTTTTCAAAACCCATCCCTTCCTGCATTTTTTCAGTGTTTGATAACATGCCTGTTAGAAAAGCTTAGTTAGTATATTTATGATTCTTAAAATTATATTGTGGCAAATGAGATCTCTGATCCACAAAAGGATGTCTGTCTTCCAATATCAAAATACAGGTATTAGTGCTAAATGATGTTCTGTTTGGAATTATTATTTTAGAAGTCTACAAGAGCAGCAATTCCAGGCCAACATCAGCAGCCTTGCTGGCACAAATAAAATTAAATATACCTTGTTCAAATATCTGCAAACAAAGAATGCAAGATTACCAATATACATGCAAAATAGCATTCAAAAAAATGAGCAATAAAGCACGTACAATGCAAGTTCTTGACCTAAGCCATTAAAACTATAAAGACTAAGAAGGTTCCACTGCATGCTAATTGTACTTGTAAAGCTTGCAAAGGAAAAGAAAATACCGGTTGGATGAGCAAGAGTTCACTGCCGACCAAGTCAAATACTCGAACAGTTCCTGTGCTTTCACCATAGGCAAGCAAAGTGCAATCATGACTCCACGCAACACATCTCCATTGTGGATTAGGATCTTTTGGAACTACGCGGAGAAGAAGGTATGTTGATAAACTCCAAATTACAAATGGTTAGCAAAATCACTTTTTCCAAACTCTATCTCTTGAACTGTTGCATAGCAGATACATATTCCAATGTTCCCTATGGCAAAGTCATTCTAAAAATAACTGGTTTGTTTTATAGCTGTTCTGTATTGAGAGAAGACACAATGTTGATCTGGTCATCTGTGAACCATGGAGTGGAAGTGGGCCAGTGAATCACAATCAGAGATTGAAAGTTCTGAATTATAATGAAAGCACTTGAAAGTTATGGGAAAGGAGGAAAAAACTAGGGCTGCACTTACACAAAGGTGTCTCCACAATCGCTCTCAAAACTATGTTTTTTCAAAAAGAGATCAGAAGATACAATATTGTTGCATCTGCTTATTTTACATCCATAAATGTTTTAAAGAGCAAGTCTTTCAAGTATGTCACTGACTAATTCTTTTACTTTCTTTAGGACAAAGCAATCACATGCTCTACCAGTTGATTTTGGCCTCCCTTATTTCATGGCTGACACAACTTCTATTTCTTTAGATCTGTATGCCTCAAAATCAGGAATAAGATCCTGCACAAGTAGGTTCCTCAATGAACAAGCCATTACTCTGATCCCATAATGTAAAGGCATGAAGCAACCATTCAAAGGCTTGGCATGGTTGCTGCCTAGATATCCTGCCAGGAAGATCTTGGGAGGGCCATGAAACAGTCACACTGAGCTTCTGAGTTGTTATGGCTTATTCATGGTGTGGATCCAGACAATGCATCTCTCATCAAAGGATATGCCCAGACCTAATTCATATGAGCTCTGGCAAAACCTTGTTTTCAGGAGACCAACTAGGACAAAGTTGGCTTATTTTTAGGAATTGCTCTATTGCTGCCATCCTCTTCTAGACACTCCTTTCACATCATACTAACTACAGGTGCAGAAACTTATATATAACTTACAAGGGCCTTAAGCCCCTTCCTCCACAAGCAGCTTTGATTGCAAAGAATGCCACAGTCCTATGCAGAGTTAAAGTAACATAGATTGGAATATAAGTCCTGGCCACTGCAAAGAGCCCATATTTGCTATATTTTCGAGCATTCAGTGCCTTTGCTTTGAACAGAGGTACTGCAACTGGCTGAACATGCAAAGACAAGCACAAAGGAACATTTGGGAGCTTATGAGCTTGCCAAATCCACATTACTAAATCCATGCAACCACTGATGGAATTTGAGAAGCAGATGTTTTTCATGTGCAACACAACTGGGAATATTTTCTCATCAGAAGGTATTTTCATTTATAAACATGTGTTTAAAGAATAACTCAGCCATAAAATGAGCTAATACAAACATATATCCTTAACTATCAAGTCCCCTACCCTTCTGAGGAGTAACCACTTCATTCTGACTAATCCTTCTCCAAATGATCATCTTCACTGAGCCAATGTAGCGTTAGCCACACACAAAATAGTAGTTACAAGTAAACTTCAAGGAAGCACAAGTTTTGTAGAAGGGAACCAATGCTAAAGGGAAGGGGGAATCAAGTATGGGCAAGTTCAATGGGGCCAAAATATTAAACACCTCTTTGTAGAAAAGGAGAAACATAAAGAAACAAAGAGGAAATAGGATGCAGTGGCTAGAAACCAAACTGCAGTTAGAGTTGCATTTGATGGGGTTTGGGTTGTTTGTTTGTTTTTTTTGGCTAAGTTGTAATTTACTTGAAAGTAAAAGGTTACTTACCTTGACATTTCCCAATGACAGATCCAAACTCATCCTTTGCAGACCTGCAACATTTCAATTTGACAGGTAGAAATATATGAAATGCATGTTTTTATGCTTCACAAATGTCTTGATCATTGTCTACGCTACTTTTCAGGGGCTAAGACTGTACGGTAAAAGGAGGCTGGTCCATATAAAAGGATTTCAAAGTGAATGGAAGTGAAAATTAAGCATCATTTTAAATTAATGTAATTATTTCGCCGTTCAATTTAAAATATGAGCATACTTGCCATAATTCACATCTCCTTATATGTCACTTGATGCTCAGTTTAATAAAGGAAAAAGAATGCTAAAAAATGCTCTCAACTCCCCCCTCACTCTATACAGGTAGTCCTCAACTTACAACGGCAATTGGGATGAGAATTTCTGTCACTAAGCTATGTGGTCATAAAGCAGATGCAGGTAGATGCAGGGGAGAGTTGGGGAAAGGGTGTGAGGGAGTACACAAGAGGCACCGCATGGGTCAGGGAGGCTGCACAAGATTGCCTCAGAGGTACCACGTGGGTCAGGAGAATAGGGGAGGGTGCACAAGAGGTGCCACGCAGGTCAGGGAGGGTGGGCAAGAGGTGCTGTGTGGTCAGGGAGGGTGTGAGGGGGTACACAAGAGGCACCATGTGTGGGTCAGGGTGGGTTCATGAGGGGGTGCATGAGAGGCGCTGCGTGGGTCGGCAAGGGTGCATGAGGGGGTGAGGGGGTGCACAAGAGGTGCAAGTTGGGAAGGGTACACAGGGGTGTGCTAGTGGCCAGTGCAGAGGGGCTGGGGGAGGGTGCGCAGGTTGGGTAGACTTACTCCAGCAACTTGCAACCTTCCCTGCCAGCTTCCTTATTGATTTTCTGAGGAAGCCAGCAGGGAAGGGTGCAAATCACATGATCGGGGGCGCTTGGAAACTGGTCGTAAGTGCAAATAGGTTGCCAAGCACCCAGATCACAATCATGTGACCATGGGGGTGCTGAGATGGCCAGAACTCCAAGGACTGGTCATAACCGCCATTTGTTCAGTGCCATCGTAACTTGGAACGGTCACTGACCAAATAGTTGTAGGTCAAGGACTATCTCTACACCAACTTGCTCAAGTCTAATGTACAGCAGAGGGAACACAATGAGGCAAAAAGAAGCTGAATCAGTGTAGCAATTTGTTGCTGGTAGACAACAGACTCTGGGAGGATATAGGGGTTCTCGTGGGCCTTAGTCTTTGCCGTTAAGATTTAAGCAGTGTTTTTCAAACTTGGCAACTTTAAGATGTTAAACTCGGCTGGGGAATTCTGGGAGTTGAAGTCCACACATCTTAAAGTTGCCAAGTTTGAAAAACACTGACTTAAAGGAACTGTGTGCCTTTTCATATTAAAAACTTGGCAACTTTAAGATAAACTTGGCAACTTTAAGATGTTAAACTCGGCTGGGGAATTCTGGGAGTTGAAGTCCACACATCTTAAAGTTGCCAAGTTTGAAAAACACTGACTTAAAGGAACTGTGTGCCTTTTCATATTAACAGTAGTCCAAATGTGAGGCAGCAACTTTTTGAACATGCAGGTGAGCAGACACAAACAGTCTTGAATCTCTGCCTCCAATAGCTGTGACATTAAATCTGCAACATGAAAGAAGGGAGCACAATAGAAAGAGGGGGGGGAGATACTTCCATGACAATAGTAGGAGCACACCTTTGGGGTTTGGCTTATGTTAGGGCTGTACAAACTTTTAATGGCCAAGTGCTGCAAAAAGAGGGGAATGATGGGTGAAACCATGTCACACAGGATGAGAGGACTGGGATTTGAGTGGTTTGAAGATACTCTTCAAAATGTTTATAAAACTGAATTAGGTAGACTTAAAACTTACACTTTAGCTTTTGTGTGTTTCAGACCTTAAATGGCAGGAAGCTTGTACTAAGAATTAAAATCAACAAATTTTAGTGGCACGATCATAGGTGGCTTCAGAAGCTGCAAAGGGTAGCAGGAGCCATAAGTTGCCCCTTTCAGTTTTTATTGTTCCTATGCAAAACTTTTAATATCTGCATGCTGGGCAACCACTGTGCAAAGCTCCATTAATCAATAAAATAACCGGGAGGAGAGAAGCGGAAGAAAAGCTAAAATATTGAGTGAACAGCAAAGAAAGTTCTGGAAAGCATTCTTGCTTAAAGAACGTCTTGTCTGCATTTTCCCATTTGATATCTATAAAACCCAAGACTGGGTTTGTATTAGGATTTTCTGATCAATTGTCTTACAGATAAACAATGCAAATCACTGCTTCTTTAACCAGTTACTACAGGATGATGTGATCATCTTCATAAATTATAGCCCATTTTGTGCACAAGAAATATTAACCCCTTAATTCAGCCTAACATACTAGAAGTTATTCAGATAAAAGATTTTTTAAAATAAAAAGAAATTCAAGTCCCTCACCATTCTCAGAATTTATCTTAGTCCTAAAAGCAATATGAATACTAAAACTTAAATCCATGGCAAACAGAAAAGAGAGCTAGAAAGAAATAAAAGAGGTGCATTCTCTTCTATATCTTGGTTGCAAACCTATAAATATATTTGTGCGCAAGTAAGCCCCACTAAATTCATTTGGATCTAGGTGTACAATTGTGCTGTTCTTCACTTACCTTATTTCTATAGTCTGGTCTTGAACAACTGCTAACAGTTTTCCATTGCTACCAAAAGAAAAGGCTTGAATGAAAATCACAAGCTAATGATTATTGCTTCCAAGAGACCTCAGAAATCATTTTATATAGTCAAGTTTAAATACAAGGCAAACGTGAGATAGCCTCAGCTTTTTACTGGCTCCTGAATCAATCCATCCATCCATCTATCTCTGAACAACTAAATTATCTCTGATATTATTAAAAATGTACCCCAAGATTAAATTGTAGATCTGCCATTAAATGGTGAACATGGTATTTCAGAAAGTACTAGGAGCATGAAATACCCTGAGAATATATCTCTCTTTATAGGTTGCACAAAATATATGAGCTGGATTGGATCTGGATTTAATAAAGGGTTGAACAACAGAAATCAGTAGCCATTGTTAACTTAACTCTAAGTCTGATCAAGTCTGGATCTCATACTATCTATGCATTACATATAATAAAAACTGAGAGCACAGGTAAGATGAGGAATCCTATGGCCACCATAAAACTCAGAATCCATTTTCACTGGCAAAATACATTCATATCAAGATCTCCCAAGTCAGAAACTGCAAAGAAATGTAAGTGGCCAACACCAGGATTTATGGAGCAGAGACTGGGGGCCAAGGCTATGAATGAAAAACAACTCTCTATGTAAAGAACAAAAACCAGGATTCTTACCTCTCTCTTTGCTATTTATTCACAAACTCAAATTCCCTATCAGTTTTATCAAATTTGAACTCAGGCAAAAGATTCTTCTTTCAGGAATTTGATATCTTTCAAAAGTGATATATTGAACTCTGGAGGACATTTTCTGCACTGACTTTGATTACAAAGCAAAATTACATTGTTGAAGATTACATATTAAAGCATTTAGTTTCAACCGCAAGAAGTCCAAAGCCAATTACTGTAAAGTCCCACTTTCAAAGGAAAAAGAAAGCCACCTACCTCGCAAGCTCTAGATGCCAATTCATCTGTTTACTGACCAGGCGGACAAAACCAACAGGGAGAGATGATTTTGCACTACTGGAAATACAAATATGCTTATGTTGGAGCAAAAAACATGATGCTTATGAATTTTAATTACAGAACAATTGTTAGAATAGGGCAGATGAATTGTGAGTAGGAGGAATGTATACAAATTCCTCCCCAAATAGAGCTCCTGAACCTATCTTGCATAGCTCTGCGAAATACAGAATGAACACAATATCTGAAATACTAAAAGTGGTTGTACTACCACTTTTGCTATTTGTTTTCCTATTATTTTATCCAGCTGTTTTGTTGCCATCTAATATTATATCTGTTTAAACTATTGGTTTATTGCAAAGATTTATATCCTTGCAAGCAGGATATAAATCACTATAATATTAATAAGATAAAAAGCAATGTACTAAATTCTTTGATCAGAATCATGCTCTCAAGTTATTTTATATATACATACATATACATACACACACACATATATATATATAAAACATTCAGTATCCTGAAATGATGCACAAAAATCCAAGTGCCTTTTTTATTTAACAAAATTTATCTTCAAAAATTACTATTTCAGAACCAAAGATCATTATATCTTCCAAATGCTATTATACACACTAAAAGATAAAACAACACTTCTAAAGTGACATACTCTCAGAGTAACTTAAGACAGAATTCTAGTTGGTTATGCTTAACAATAGCTTACCTGCACCAGAAGTGGCGCAGAAACAATGCAGGGCCTAGAAGAGAAAAATATAATTATCTTTAAAAGAAAGCAAGAGGCTATTTTCTGCAGCTGTTTTGTCAAAGGACCTACGACTTACTTCCTCCACCAAAAAAAAAAAATCTTCTCCAAGTAGTTAGCTCTGTATTTGGGGATATGCATAGAAACAATAAAATTATATTTATCTGCTTTTCATTATTCCCATATCCTTAACACCCTTACCCGCTAGCAATACATATTTTGATACGTTTTCTCCAGTTGTTTTCAAGATGAACACCAAATCTAGAGCACGTGATCTTTTTTCTTCCAGAAAAGGCAGCATGTAGGCAGGAGCAAAAGGGTGCTGATGGTAACACATTAGTCTACTCCTTTTGTGGCAATGGTTTCTACCCTTAACAGTGGGGTACTGTGGCCTACTGCTTATTTAACATAATAAAGAAACTAGTAACCAGGTATATGCACCTACAGTGCATTCAGAAAGTATTCAGACCCCCTTCACTTTTTTCAATTTTGTAATGTTGCAGCCTGATACTACAGTTGTTCAAATTCATTTTTTTTCTCATTAATCTACACTCAGTACTACCATAATGACAAAGTGAAAACAGAATTTTAGAAATGTTTGCAAATGTATGAAAAAGGAAAA